GTGTGGAACTCTTTACAGGATGAATTACGTTCAAGGGCAACCCTTAAGGAATTTAAGAATGCTCGTTATTAGAGAGTTAAATTTGTAACGTAATAATCTTAAGATTTTTAGAATGTTAGTTATTAATTGATTTTTTTTTATTCTTTCTCGGCATATTAGCACGTATTGCTTGGGGCCTAATCAGCCTCAGCAACCCGAGTTGAAATAAAGTTACCTACCTACCTAGCCATTATCAAACAATGAAGACCCCTCTCGGTCTCGTCTTGTTATTTGGTCCTTTCAAAAATTCCTAGTTGATTGCTGGTAAATTTCCTGTGGGCGCATTCCAAGTTTCCTATCCCTTTTGGGAATGGTATGAAAAGCTAATGAATGCACAAACTGCCCGTTATATTTAGATTTCACGACCCGCTGATTGTTGGAGAGGAAGTATAGTCTATTGATTGTTTGTAAAACTTTAAAATGCAACGGGTTCTTGCGTTGATCTTAGAAACTTCAATACATCATAAACTTGCTTGTTCTGAGCAATTTTTGGATCTACTGCCCTTGAGATGTGACCACAGAATACTCTCACTGCATTTACTGTTGCAGACAACGTCTGATGAAATGCTCCATAAGATGCCGAAAAAGGCTTTAGAGAAAGACTGGATCCCACAACAATGCAGCTACCAACAAACCTGTTCTTGCAAGTGCTGTTTGTAAATTTGTAAATCAACAGACTTCGTCAAATCGTCGTACTTTGAAGTCACTCGAGGCACAAAATTGCTTGATTTGTTGAAATTAAGCAAAGTGCTTTCAAAACAAAGAGGACTTGTAGCTTGCGCCTGAAAAGAAAGAAACATACTCTGCTGACCCAAACACAAAAATGGCCGAGGAAAATGTTAATCATGCATTTGGACCAAGAGCTCTTTTCAGACCTCAAAGAACCCTGGTACATCCTTTACTCCTTCATGTGGTTGCACCATTTGTTGATGGTGACGATCGTAACTTTTCTCTGCAGATAAACGGGAATCTTTTATGGAGGAATATGGGAGTTAAGCGGAAGTCCTTCAGTTTATATTCAGTCTTCAAGCTGACTTGTGAGCGATTGTTTATCAACTTGAAGAATCTTGGTGCCTGCGATTGCGTCGCAAAGAAACTAAACTATAAGACTGGGAGATTCTTGAAGCAAATAAAAGGAGAACAAAACGGCAAAAGGAGAACAGAGACTTGGACAAATAACTTGAACTAAAAAATAGTTAATCACTGAAAAACAATGTCTTAGAGGAGCCTTCTTTGGGGAAATTCGATAAAGTACGTGTGTGTTGGTGTGAATACTGTGTGCACTTGTGATAAAGTATGTGTGTGTTGGTGTGAATACTGTGTGCACTTGTGATAAAGTATGTGTGTGTTGGTGTGAATACTGTGTGCACTTGTGATAAAGTATGTGTGTGTTGGTGTGAATACTGTGTGCACTTGTGATAAAGTATGTGTGTGTTGGTGTGAATACTGTGTGCACTTGTGATAAAGTATGTGTGTGTTGGTGTGAATACTGTGTGCACTTGTGATAAAGTATGTGTGTGTTGGTGTGAATACTGTGTGCACTTGTGATAAAGTATGTGTGTGTTGGTGTGAATACTGTGTGCACTTGTGATAAAGTATGTGTGTGTTGGTGTGAATACTGTGTGCACTTGTGATAAAGTATGTGTGTGTTGGTGTGAATACTGTGTGCACTTGTGATAAAGTATGTGTGTGTTGGTGTGAATACTGTGTGCACTTGTGATAAAGTATGTGTGTGTTGGTGTGAATACTGTGTGCACTTGTGATAAAGTATGTGTGTGTTGGTGTGAATACTGTGTGCACTTGTGATAAAGTATGTGTGTGTTGGTGTGAATACTGTGTGCACTTGTGATAAAGTATGTGTGTGTTGGTGTGAATACTGTGTGCACTTGTGATAAAGTATGTGTGTGTTGGTGTGAATACTGTGTGCACTTGTGATAAAGTATGTGTGTGTTGGTGTGAATACTGTGTGCACTTGT